TCTGTGTGTGTGTCTCTGTCTTCATCTGCAGCTCTGTGTGTCCCTGTCTTCTTCTGCAGCTCTGTGTGTCCCTGTCTTCATCTGCAGCTCTGTCTGTGTGTCTCTGTCTTCTTCTGCAGCTCTGTGTGTCTCTGAGGCTGGCAGCCGCAGTGATGGGCTGTTAATATGATGAACTGTTAATATGATGAACTGTTAATATGATGAAGTGTCCGGTGTAACCCTGACATCCTCTGATCACGTGTATATCTCTGTGAGCCGGTGTGGACCCATTGATCAATGGATTTGTCATGAATGGCTGATGGACAATTGTTATGGTTCAGTTTAAAAATGCACCTTGGTTGTCGACGATAAGTAAAAGTTTGTGGATTCAATCGCTCGATGTTCTCCCCCAACTTGCCTAGCTTTACAATATTCTATTGTTCTAGCATAGCATAAATACTATCTGCATAATATATGATCTGAATATTTCATATCTGTTTGATTTCCAACTTCTTTTTGATGATTTACAGCAACAGTTGTCTTTCAACTAACTGGAAAAATAGTTTGGAAGTTTTAGTTAGATATTTATGGTTAGAGTGACCCCTTATTTGCTTGAGTGCAGAATATGGAAAATCAGCTTTTTTTTAAGCTTACAAAGCAACTTGTTTATTAATAGCGTTCGCCAAGGAATTACGATTTAGGGTCCGTTTGTTGGTTTGTTTTTGTGTGCCAGATTATGAAAAAACAACTGTCCTGATTTTTATGCAAACGTGAAGCATGGGCCAAGGAAGAACACATTTTGGAGAATATAGGAATCATATAGACAAACGGATATTTAACATTTTGATACTGGCCATTTGTGGTGTCGTAAAAATGTGTTGACGACTGAGAAATGTACTGTTAACGCCGGAAAAATAACATGGAAACAGCTAACCAGGGACGGAGTGGCGCAGTGGGCTGTGCGTTGATCATCAGATCAAGGGTGGCGTTGGGGAACACCAGTTCGAAACCCGCCACTGCGTCAGGCCGTTGTGTCCTTGGGCAAGACACTTCACCTGAATTTGCTCCTGTGGGTATTGTCCACAGTACATGACCGTTACACTTTTTTTAAACGTTTTGAGCAATAATATACAACATAACTTGTTAGCAGCGTCCATCTTGTTTCCATGCTATGACTTTAACCTCATGAACACACTAAGGCTGGAAAAAACCCTTTCAAACTCTGGACCATCTTGGAGCATGTAAACGCCATTTTAGTTTCCCAAATGACACCATCGTCAGCACCAATTTGCAAAAGAAAAGAAAAATAAGTAATAATAAAAGTCTTACTTTTATCAATCCACCTCTTATTAATCAGCCATTAATAAAGCTCTTCAAAGTGCTTAAGCAATCAGTGTGAACCCTAATCATTACATTCATTAAGTAAAAGCAGAACATAGCACAGCTCAAGCCAGATATATCTGCCCTTTAGGAGTGATCATTATAATCCAATACTGTAATCACATTTAAGGCAAAGTGGTGAACTGAGTGGCCTCCAGAAATCAGAGAAAAGTGACTTCTCTCTTCTCGCTTTTATCTAATTTGCTCTAATCTTCTGCCTTCATCTCAGTCCGCTCAAACTTCAACTGTTCCCTCCAAACTTCGCTCCACTCGTGTCCCTCAAAGATCAGAAGGAGAGCAATTCCACCGCCCTTCCAATTTTATCACATCACCTGATTGAATTACTAAAATTACCCAGCTCGCCATCGGCATTCGTTTGAAGCGACCCAGGCTGTGTCCTTTTCACGAGTGTTTGCCCGTGAGAGAGTGAGACGGAGAGAGAAGATGGCGGGTCAGATAAACCCAACTCAATTAAACCTGCTGTCCGGCTGCATCTCTGCTGATTAATGAGGCTCCTTCAACACCTCACTCTCCTCTGCACCTCCCCTTCTGCCTCCATTCATCCATTTCTCTCATCTTCACACCTCTCACCCTTCATTCCTTCAAGCAGCGAAGGATCAAGCACAAAGGCTTCTTGCCAAACCTCTTCATTTACAATCCGAGCAACAATCTGTTCATGCATTGATCAGGAACAATCTTCAGGCCTGGGTTGGCTAATTGAGATTGGTGGAGCCGGTGTGAGTTGAGACACATTTGGTACAAACACTCATTACTGCCGATGTCCAATAACTCAACAATCAAATCTAATGTTTAGTTTAAAGGTGTCCTATTATGCAAAATGCACTTGATGTCTTTTATACATAAAGATGTGTCCCCGGTGTGTCAGGGAACTCACAAAGTGTCAGAAAATAAAACCCTTTCTCTTTTCCTCCGTACCCAAATCTCTAAAAACGGGGCTACAACGGAGCTGATCCAGATTTGCGTCCGATATGACGTAATATCGGAAATGTGGGCTGGCTTTACATCCACGGCCCTATCGGCAACGTCGCTATCAGAAACGATGCACGACGTGTTTTGGACGTAATATGGTCTTTGTTTACATTAGCAAGCATCGCTAACACTCAGAGCTAACCTGTACTGGTTAGCATTTATTTTAAAGCTTTATACCCAGAATCAGCACTTTAGTAACAGGGCTGAAATAGAGGGATATGAGGCTAGAATGGGTGATCTGCTTGTTATTTTGAGCAAAGCTTCAGAGACATGTTTTTTTATATATCTGAGACCTATAATATATGCCTAAAAATAGTATAATAGGAGACCTTTAAGTGTCGGCGATGGTCATAAGTTTACTTTATTGTCAATGTTTCAATTTGTGTGCACAGACAGAGAGATCGAAATACGGTTTCCCTCAATCCCGAATACAAAAATACAAATATATATAAAAATATGTATAAAATATGTATATCCTATATATACACAATCAACAGACACATTTATACATATGCACACATTAAGATAAAAACACAACGTATACAGGTACATGCAAACAGTGTAAATGTAGCTTAAGTCATGTGTGAATATGCTGTTGTCTTTTGTCGTGTATTCTGTAGTATTTATGATTTCTTATCTTCTGTTGAACAAAGGCGTACATAGTGCCTGCAGAGTGTTACCACCTGATTCCTCTAAATGTAGTCGGCCTCGTTATCGAGCAGCTGCCGGCTGTCAATGTCCGTCGTGGCTGAGAAGTTTGGCCCTCGCCGCGCACCGTAGATTCTGCTTAACTTCTCTGTCAGGACCCAAACACCTCAGACACCTGCGAGTGCTGCACTGCGAGAGACAATTAATGCATTTGAGAGAAGAAGAAAGCCTATTGATTGGAGTTGTTTCTGTCCAGAGAGAGATGTCGGTGCATAGGGAAACACAGGCTGAACAAGAAGAGCTTTCAAGATTTCAAAGGTTTTATTGTCATATGCACATTATTGCGGTGATAACTATTCATATAAATAGGTAGATTAGCGTATTTGTCTGTGTGCTGATGAGTTGAGATGCCATCCAGACTCAGCATTACTGCAGCCAGAGAAGCTCTCCTGTGTTTAATGGAGCCTGAACAGAGCTGAGAAAACAGAACACCTCATTCTGCACCATGTTTTGGTTCAAGAGTAGGTCAATGAAAATGGGGAACACGGCCGATATTATTGAATTATTCAGAATCGCTGTGGAAGACGGCTTGTGAGGCGGTGCTTATTTACTTCATGGTGTGTCAGGGATTGATTGTCCATCAGTCCGATGTGATGCTCATACATTATTCAATGTCACTTCATAGTAACTCTCATTAGGTTTCTGGATGTACGGATGTTGATGGCTGATTTTTCATATATGGTCGTGTTTTGAGGTCGGTCAGAGGCAGATTTTAAACCCTTTCTCTTAAGTTATTGTGCATGAAAGTATCCACAATCATTTCACCTGCTGTGGTCGTGTTTCGAGGTCAGTCCCTTTTGTACTGAGGCAGATTTTAAACCCTTTTTCTAAGTTATTGTACATGCACATATCCATGATTTCACCGGCTGAATAATTCATTTGGTTCTATATGTCTGTTAACACTACAAAGGATGGGAGCTGAATCTTATGCACATGTTTGATTATTAGATATATTTGATTTATTTACATAATACTCTGCACTACTATAGCGTGCACTTTAAAGGTATACTGGTATGCTACTGTATGCAGGATTTCCCCTGAAGTGTTTTTCAGTAGGATACTGAAACATACCTGCCCTCACAATATATCACAGTCTAGATGTGTCAAACTCAAGTGGTGGATTTAATTTCGGCCCGCAGGATAATTTTGAATTACTATTCGATCTGGCCCTCCGGTATATTGCACGCACACCTTCACTCAATCCTGAGGGTCTCCTCAGCTCAGAGCCTGACCCCAAACATTGATGACCTTGCACCCAAGATGAGATGCCAAGTATCTGGCTTGAACTAGCATCACAGAGCAGCACACTGAGTTTCCATGGATGTTTCCTTCTGCACTTTCTTTCTCACGACAACAGGGCATGTTTGGTTTTTTCTTTGAGGGAAATAGTTTTTTTGAAGCTGTTGTTGGCCTGTGGAAAAATGTAATCATAAGAAATGACTCAGAAAAGCTGCAGTTAGAGCCATAAGAAATGAATGCAACTGATTATTTAATGTTTAATGTTGTTTTTATAGGCAATAATGTAAGCTTTGTTAGTTCCAGGGTTAATATGTGCAATAAATTCATTTCAATAAGTTCTGCTATAAACATTGAACCAGTCCGGCCCTCCACTAGTACCCATTTTTTTTTATTTTGGCCCACTGTGTATTTGAATTTGACACCCCTGATGTAGACCTTAAAATCTAACCCCACATCTCTCTCCTCGATAGATTCATAGATAGATGAGAGTAGAGAGATTTATCGTCTATAGCTATAGAGAGATATATATCTCTATTCTACTATCTATATCTCTCGTCTTCTCTATCTCTCTCTCTCTCTCTCGTTATAGCTCTCTCCTCTCTCTCTCTTCTCTGTATCTCTCTCTCTCTCTCTCACTCTCTCTCTCTCTCTCTCTCTCTCTCTCTCTCTCTCTCTCTCTCCCTCCCTCTCCCCTCTCTCTCCAGACCTGTCGTGGTTGAACTGGTTGTCTGACCGGCTCGTGTCTCCTCAGCCGCGTCCTCGATCTCTTCTTCAGGGAGTCGTACGACCGCCTTACCTGGACGTCCTTCGTCTTCCGTGTGACACTTGCTGAGGACAACAACAACAACAACAACAACAAACAATCAACAAACAAACACTTCAGGGACTAAATAATTAATCTTGCACAAAGAGGAGGCGAAGGGAAAGTGGAAACCCCCACACTCTTATTTTAGATTTTAGGACGTAAATGTATATATTGCTAACAGTGGTGATGGATTGTTTACTCTTTTACGTCTCGATGCCATGTGACTGTTTAACACATCATTACCTGTTTTGTTTGTTTCTATGTTTGTGTGTAAACAAACGGATTAATTTTCCTAACCAGGCGCAGCATGACGAACTGTTAGAGGTCGTTGTTTACAGATCATGTGATATTTCCTTCATTGTGTTTTCGAGCCACTTGACGCTGACAAACACAACAAGCTTCTGACTCCAGATCAGCATCGAGTGTCAACCCCTAACGAGGAAGTAAAGCTTCATCAGCCAATCAGCAGGCCTGGATTTGTGCTGAGTCGGGGCTAAACGGGCGACCTCCTGCTGTTTTAGCGCTGCTCCAAACCTCTGAGACTGTCATTGAGAGGCAGGTACTTGTATCATGTTGTGTGGCCCTCTCTAGATGAATATTATGCAAAAATGATTGACCAAATTGATGACTGGATGCTGGCCAAGGAAAGGAGAAATATTCTGAACTGTTACACCTTCACATTTCTGAAGTTGTTAAGTCTATTTATGGATAATCGTGTCAATTTTTGGGGAGATTTGCTTTTAAATCGAACTTTTTTCTTTGACAGTCTTTTTAAACGTTGTACTCGTTGTATCTTGCCAGTATTTATTGGAAATGTCTCAACACTAACACAGTCGCTGAAACGGGATGTTTGGTGACGATTTAATCCTAAAGGAAATCACTTTATTAAACAGGCGTGAGGATTACGTGGTAATTGCCGAGCTGCTCCTCCTCCACCTCCTCCCCCTCCTCCAAAGCACCAGCAGGTGTCTCCGATGAGAGTCGACTGACAACGAAACCTGAAGGGAGAAAGGAAGTCTCTTTTTTCTTGGATTCCTCGACTGACAAAACTGGAGCTGTGACAAAAACCAGTTCCAGACGAAAAACCACAAAGAAACACATGAAGGCGAATTCAAAACTGACTCTAACATGTCCATAGTTTGTCTTTGTCTCGTTCAGCAGCTATAGGACGTGTTTACCGTGTGTCCCTCGGGGTCCTTAACGTCTTCCCTGGTGCTTGTTTTCTATTTTTTACTCTCCTTGTACAGAAAAAGGTTGTCTTTGTACCTTTTTTGACATGTTGCCTTAATTGCCTAGTGCTGTGCGTTCAGCCCCCCCCCCTCTCTCTCTACCACACTGTGACTCTTTTATCTGTATATATTGTTAAAGGTCATGTACTTGTGTCCTGCAAGCACTCTCTCTGTGGTTATAAATGTCCTTGTTCTGTGAAAAAGGAAAAAGAACAAATGTGACTGTTGAATATTTCCAGCACCTTATTCAAATAAACATTTTAAGATTAACGCTGCTGTGGTTCTCCTTGTGTCGAAGGTTATCAAGACGATTCAGGGCAGTCTGAATTCTATACCCTCATTTAACTTGTCTTTCTTAGCTATTCTTACACATTTGACATGTCAATTATAGCCTTTTATTTGCCTTTCAATAAGGGTAATTCATTATAATCTTTGCTCAAAGTTGTATCATGCATTATTCAACAAGTGTGCATAGGAGAGTCGTAAACACTGCAAACACAAACTGAAAAATCATCCGTTCTGCTCAATACAGAGTTCACACAATGGAGAATGTTTCACCGTCCATTATAAGCCTGCCGCACTTGCAAAATGTCCCATAATGCAATGCATATCATCTTACCGGTGAACTTGATGCCGTCATTCCTCTCGAGACACAGAAGACGTCATGGAGCTGATTTTACAAGATGAGTAACGCTAACTATCTGCATTCGTCTTTATTTTGGCACCATCAACACTACTTACTGTATTTCCCCAAGTTACATTGTGACTGAAATGTGAGGATAACTTGATTGTCTTTTGTGCAAAATCACTACAAAGGTGCAAGAAACAAATGATTATTCAAATATATTTGATAATGATAATAATGATATGGCAAGGCAGCGTGATTGATGGTTTAAAAATGATTAATTCGATGTAAAATCATGAATAATCGTGATTGCAAACTCATTAAAATGATCACAATTAGTTATGTATACCCAATCATTCAGCTCTCTTCCCATTATCACTGCAGAGCTCCTGATGTAAAGCCCGATGCATGCTAACGATAGCTCAGCCTGCTTTGTTTTCTACTTCCTAATTATCTGTTTACTTCAGAAGCGGCCCCTCCTTCCTGCCCTGCAGTTTAACTCCTGTCCTCTTCATCCTCATCACCTCACCTTCACACCTTTCACTCCTGCAGCCTCCACTATCGCCCCCTCTCTGTCAGATCGTCTGCTTCTTATTCTGCCTGCCACCTTGATGCTCTGCCCCCGATAACTTTGCTTTTTTATCCGCCGGCTTGGTTTTCAGACTTTCTCCTGATCTTTGACGTCAGGTAAACGTGAACTTTTAACCCGGCCCTCCCCTCTCTGAGAAAGTCTTACACCTTCAAAGCTGTTTACCTGCTGAGTCGTTACAGCTGCAGTGCATTTTGGTCCATATTTTGATCTCTTCAGAGGATGTAGTGTGAGACAAATGTGTATCCTTGTCTCACTTTAAATGGATTCCTGTCAAAATGTCTGTTGATATGACTTAAAGGGGACCTATCATGCAAAATGCACTTTTGTACGTCTTTTATACATGAATATGTGTCCCCGGTGTTCCAGGGAACTCACCAAGTGTCAGAAAACACAACCCTCTCTCTTTTCCTCCATACCCAAATCTCTAAAAACGGGGCTGCAACGGATCTGATAAAAACTGATCCAGATTTGAAACTGTTCTGACGTCAGAAACGGGGAGCTCCGCCTATATGGGCAACTCTCCACCTATCAGGGGAATGGGGGGTTGGGCCACGGCCGGCCATTGCTGCTCGAAAGCGCTGGAGACGATGTAGTACATATGCCAGGCCTGTAGGTGGCGCTGTAGTCTGCCACAAAAGCAACGAAGAAGACTTCTCACAGAATCAGCCCTTGCAAAAACAGGGCTGGAAAAGAGCAAATAGAGCAAAATGAGGCATGGCTAAAATGCATGATCTGTTTGGTATTTTGAAAAAAAAATTCACAGACATGTTTTATATAGGTATGGCCTTACAATATATTATTCAAATATAGCATGATAGGTCCACTTTAAGATCCAGGCGTTCTGTCAATATAATCCTTCATTGGGTAAAATCATACAGTTAAAATCAACAAGACTAGATACAAGTGCATTTATGACCAAAAATGATGATGTATGCAAAAAGGGGGCGACACTATAACTTAAAGTGGACCTATCATGCTATATTTGAATAATATAGTGTAGGACCATACCTATATAAGGCATATTTATACTTTTTTTTTTTCAAAATACCAAACAGATCATGCATTTTAGCCATGCCTCATTTTGCTCTATTTGAAATGTTTTAGCTCTGTTTTAGCAAGGGCAGATTCGGTGAGAACAGCACCATCTACAGGCCTGGCATATGTACTACAGCGTCTCCAGCGCTTTCGAACGGCAATGGCCGTGGCTGTCTCCTCCTGATTGGTGGAGTTGGCCCAATAGCCGTAGCGCCACCGTCCTGACGTCAGGACAGTGTTCAAATCTGGATCAGTTTTTATCAGATCCGTTGCAGCCCCTTTTTTAGAGATTTGGGTATGGAGGAAAATAGAGAGGGTTGTGTTTTCTGACACTTGGTGAGTTCCCTGGAACACCGGGGACACATATTCATGTATAAAAGACGTACAAAAGTGCATTTTGCATGATAGGTCCCCTTTAAATGAAATGAACGCTTTCTCTAGGTTTGTAAATGGTTTGAATATATAGGATGAATAATGCTCACAAATAAAAAATATATAAAACACAGATCTAGTCATTTCTTTTGATATTCTAGTGTTGAGATGTTGCATATCATATCTTTAACACCAGAAGAAAACAATTAACTTACTGATTTGTTAAATATTCAGAGTTCCCTCTGTCAAGAGGGACCTGTATGTGGATTTGAGACCAAATTAAAGGTTTCAATCTATGTATTTGTATATATATTTTGACCACAGTCTGTCCCTTTAAGCAGCAGATTACATCATACTTTGGAGGAGCCTGAACTCATTTTCTGTGTTATTTATCAGCTCAGTAATGTTCTCGCACTTAGCAGGAGTGGAGGAAGCTCTCAGACACACCTGCTTTCCCAGAAGCCTCTTTGTTTCCTGCTTGTCCTTTACAGAGGTGGGAAGTAGTGGAGTACAAATACTTCGTTACTATACTTAAGTACATTTTTCTGGTATCAGTACTTTACTCCACTACTTATTTTTCTGATGACTTTTTACTTTGACTTCTTACATTTTGAACACAAATACCTGTACTTTCTACTTCTTACATTTTGAACACAAATACCTGTACTTTCTACTTCTTACATTTTGAACACAAATACCTGTACTTTCTACTTCTTACATTTTGAACACAAATACCTGTACTTTCTACTTCTTACATTTTGAACACAAATACCTGTACTTTCTACTTCTTACATGTTGAACACAAATACCTGTAATTTCTACTTCTTACATCTTGAACCCAAATACCTGTACTTTCTACTTCTTACATGTTGAACACAAATACCTGTACTTTCTACTTCTTACATTTTGAACACAAATACCTGTACTTTCTACTTCTTACATGTTGAACACAAATACCTGTAATTTCTACTTCTTACATCTTGAACCCAAATACCTGTACTTTCTACTTCTTACATGTTGAACACAAATACCTGTACTTTCTACTTCTTACATTTTGAACACAAATACCTGTACTTTCTACTTCTTACATTTTGAACACAAATACCTGAACTTTCTACTTCTTACATGTTGAACACAAATACCTGTACTTTCTACTTCTTACATGTTGAACACAAATACCTGTACTTTCTACTTCTTACATGTTGAACCCAAATACCTGTACTTTCTACTTCTTACATGTTGAACAGAAATACCTGTACTTTCTACTTCTTACATGTTGAACACAAATACCTGTACTTTCTACTTCTCTCATTTCCCAAACAGGCTGGTTCCTTTAGTTTGAATGTGTGTTTGGTGGCGTGATCATTATTATTTAGAGTCATTGCGTGCCTATTGATTTGAACACGATCCGTGTATCCATCATTTCCTGGTCTTCTCTAAAGAAGAGGGACCAATGAAAACGTTGTCATGTTGCCGTTGTTCAGCATGGAAACATTCATTAGCTAACAATGACATTATTGTTCTATTAATATAAAGGGAGGTCAGGTACTCTTTAAAACAGATGGTAGTTATGGGTACTTTTTACTGAAGTACATTTCAAAGCCCATACTTCTTTACTTTTACTTGAGTAAAGAAGTTTAGTCAGTACTTCTACTTTCACCAGAGTATTTTTAAACACGAGTATCTGTACTTCTACTTGAGTAAAGGATGTGTTTACTTTTGCCATCTCTGGTCCTTTATGGGTACAAATCTGGATGAACATGTATGACCTGTTAGCATGACGTCTCTGTTTCCTGCATGTTCAGTCGTCGTCGTCACCCTCTTCCTCCAGTGGCCCAGCTGCAGATGAGCTCATCCTGTCCCCAGTCTGCTTCCCATTAGCAGTGTGTGTGTGTGTGTGTGTGTGTGTGTGTGTGTGTGTGTGTGTGTGTGTGTGTGTGTGTGTGTGTGTGTGTGTGTGTGTGTGTGTGTGTGTGTGTGTGTGTGTGTGTGTGTGTGTGTGTGTGTGTGTGTGTGTGTGGTGTGTGTGTGTGTGTGTGAAACTACAACACGCTGGGATTCAAGCTCCTGACCCGGGCCAGGAATTAAATGACATTAAAATGTAATGACTTCGGCCCGGCGTGTGATCAGAATGGATGTTTTTAGACCTTAAATGATTGCATAGCATTTGAAAAAGCAGGCGTGATGCGATGTGATCTGAACCCACTGTTGGTTTATGGTGGTCTGTTTAGGTTCAGAGGAGCTGTCACATTTGTCACGACTCCTGCGGACCTCGCTTTGTTTTGGCTTCTCACTTTATTGACTCAGTTTCAGCTTCTTCCTCCTCCTCTCTTCCTGTATCTGTCCCCTGTGTTCTCTGTGCTCTGCGATAAAAACCAAACATTAAAAATGTAATGGATAAGATAACACTGGAAAGGCGGCTCCTGCATATAAATGAACAATGTAAATAATCCAGGAGAGTAAACAGCGCTCTGTTGTTAATAATGGATGCATTTAATCCATGGTTTGTTTGTGTATTGCTGTGACGAAAATACAACAAATGGTCCCAAAAGAAAGGTTGTTGAGTTGCTTCAGCCAGACAACGGGAAGTGTTTAATATAAAACCTATTTCTTTATGGGACTTTGGGATGTTGTGTCCTCGAGGGT